CGTATATTCTATTTACTCCTCATGTTGAGTTTGAATGTGTATGCATTCCCTGCCTCCTTTCTTTGACACTCGTCCGCCGCAGTTGATACCCTTACGCACGTTGTCTTTTCTCTTGTCTCAACGGCTGTCATTGCTACCTACCGCCCAGTGCCCTCTGCCTCCTCCTTTTTCAAGTCGCACAACCAGTCCCAGACTTTGTCTGCGAATTCCTCACGGTCTCTGCCACAGTAATGTTTGAATATACTATGTGGTGATCCATAGTCCATCATGATATCAACCACATTTAGAAGAAGCTTTTTGGCGGTTTTGGAAAATGCCTTCGATGGCTTCCAGTCCTCTGGGGCCACTCGTGAGAGGAGTTCAAGCGCCTCCCGTATTTCGCTCTCGATTGGAAGGCATCTGGTGCTGTTTGATGCATGTTCTTGCAAAGTCTTGTCGATTAAATTCACCATGACTGTCATCATCTTCGCGGGGTTGCCTAAACTTTCGATGAAGTAGAGAAGTTCGGACTGGCTCAGAATCGCTTTTCTTTCCTGTTCTTCATCAATCCAGACCTTTGCGCCTAAGTCAAGGAGTTTGAAGAATGCCTTCGACTTCTTGTGAGCCGTCGCCCAATAGAGCGGTGTGTCTCTGTCTTCGTACCACCCCTCATTGATCCCGTCCGGATCAGCACCCAGGGTAACAAGGTGTTCAATCATAGTCTCATCTTGAGAGAGAATTGCATAATGTATGGGCTGGAAGTTGATCCAGTCTTGCGCATTGAAATCGCGCTCGTTGATGTCCATCCCTCGAGCTTGAACAAGATGGGTAGCTAATGACTTTGTGCCATGCAAAGCGGCGACGTGAAGAGCTGTCATGTCCTCTGTGAATCCAGCGAAACCGGGTCTGTCAACATTTCTCGGGGAGATCACGTGCCTCGCTCTCATGTAAGATGGAGGGAGCATCACAGAGGTCGTAGCGTTCCGTGAGAGTAGAAGGCGTGCAATCGAATCGTGTTTTCGACAAATGGCGAAGTGAAGAACCGTCCAGACTGGGAAGTCGGCAAGTAGGCAGCCCTCTCGAGATTCATCGTAGTCAGCGAACCCTCTGCAATTGCAAGTCAAACGTCCAGGTGCGTCGACGTCGACTCCTTGAACCGCGATGAGCCACTCAACAGCGTCGTAATGATTGTGGTAGACAGCCAGGTGAAGAGGCGATGCCCAGAATCGGCTTAACTCGTCATCCTCTAGCCGACCCCAACCCCAAGAGTCCGTAGCTGATACAAGCTCTGTCATATCTTCAGGACACGAAACGGGGTGTATGAGATCAAAGTCAGCTCCATAAGCAGCCGCCTTTTTCATCATTCGGAGATTTCCGGACTCCGCAGCTCCTGACATAATCTTGGTGAAAGTGTCGGGATCTTTGATGGCAGACTGCCACAGGATGTCCCCTGTGTTCTCATAGAGCCGCTTGTTCGTGAGAATGAGGCCGCCTCCCTCCACACCGCAGTCCACTGCAATAGCCTGTAACAGCTCGTTTGGGAGGCCTAGTAGAGACATTCTTGCTACCTCCAGGATACGGTCGTGAGTTGAGACGCGTGTGGTCTGTGAATGGGGAAGGCGCAGAGAATCGGAGGCGTCGGTAGCGAGGCGGAACGATGGTGAGATCGATAGATCGTGGAAAATGACCGCCAAGTTTTCTTCTGCGGGCAGCTTGGGTGTTAGATGGGCTTCCAAGAATGGTGCGAGAGTGGCTAATTGACAAGTTGGAAGGAACTCACGAGTCTGAAGGTGAAGGCGGAAGAGGACGTAGAGATCATGCAAGCTCCTCGTATTTGCCTCCTCGGGAGAGTGATTGAGTGTGTTGAGAGAAAAGAATGACAAACAAAGAAGGAGCCGGCGCGTGGAAAAAGATCTTGATACGCGACAAACGGAAAGTTGGAGTGCCTTCCCGACTGGAATTCAACGAGGCAGAAACAGTCACCAATTTTTGAATAAAGAATCTTGGTATGGCTCGCTTTGGCTCGTTCTACGTCCGAGGCTGAAATTTCAGGTACCCACTCACAATCACAATGGAATAGTCTACAACTTCAAAGTGTGAATTTCGCTTTCCATCGCATCGTTCTTGCCCATCCTCAACATCCTCACCTTTCCCCAATCTTCCTTAATTCTTTCCGTCGTCCTTGACTGTCTCCGTCGTCCTTAACTGTCTCCGTCGTCCTTGCCGTCGTCCTTAACTGTCTCCGTCGTCCTTGCCGTCGTCCTTGGCCTTCTCTTATACCAACAGAATCGTAAGTTTCTTCTAGCTATTCTTTCGGAAGCCCATCTAACGCCCGCAGGGTAAAGCGCAGCGCCCACCCTCACAAGCACTTCTCGACTCGGAACCATGAAACTGCTGAAGCCGACGACGTCTCAATTGGAGATTATTCCACCAGAGATCGTGCTTGCGATCGCGGAGGAACTTCCTCAGTCATCGATGAACAGTCTTTGTCAGGCCAGCAAACGGCTCCGCCAAATCATCAACCCATCATTGTACAGAGCTGCCATCAAAACACCGCACTTCCTCTCGGTTACCGCACGAGATGGAAAGCTTGATACCCTCAAGGTCGCAGCCTCCTTCGGCGCCGACCTCAATCGTGTCTACTGGGTTCCTGCGCCTTCCTGGTCCCTACTCTGTTGGGATGGCGTCGATGAGGACCCTGACTGTTCGGATAGCGACGACTCTGACTACGGAGATTTCGAGTACCCTATCTTTCAGCGTTTCGGATTCACCTCCATCCATGGAGCTCGAGAAGGTTCTGTACTTCCCAACGATCGCGACATCGGATATTGCTGGGCTACTCCTCTTCACTTGGCCGCTGCAGAGGGACATTACGACATGGTCGAGTGGCTGCTTTCACAAGGCGTTGATCTCGACGTGCCGGGAAAGCTGCTATGCCCCTGCTCTTCTTTCAGCGAAATATTAGCCGAAGGATCTGGAAGGTCAATCCTGCATTCGGGAACCTGGACCCCATTGCACTACGCCATCTGCCGCAGCTACCCGAAGATTGCTCTTTTTCTTGTCGACAATGGTGCCTCCATGGAAGTTCGGTACCCTTGGAGCAAGGACATCCCACGCACACACGGCATTGACAAATTGTTCGGTTTGGGCCCTTGCCAGTCAGCTTCTGAGATCCGACAAAGTCTCGGTGACCTCCTGACGTACCACCTGGGGGTTAATCCAGACTCAGGCGGGAAGGGAAAAGGCCGCAAGAAGAATAAACTCCTCAGCGAGCAATCACAGCGACTATGCCTACAATACAACATGTTGGCGATCCACTGTGCCGCCTTTTCGAATGAGCCCGAGGTTCTCCGCCACTTGGTAGATCTTGGGATCAGCGTTGACACCGCAGATGGGTGCGGGGCGAACATCTTGTACCATGCCGTGGAAAGAAGGAGCTTGGAAATGGTCCGATACGCTCTTTCACTCCAGACGAACTCCTCTGCATCAGTTTGCATTGTGGATCGAATGCATAACAAGCACCGCGTGGAGGGCATTTGCCAGTGGGTGGCTCAGTTCTCCAGCTGTAACAGTCCCAACTACCTTGATGCCGTCATCGTCATGCTCGCCGAACGTGGAGGCGATTCCGTGTTCTGGCTCGACGAGGAGAGCAGCCACACGGAAGGTGAAGATGTCGAACACGATTCCATTCGCCCCAAGTCTATGACCATCAACGTCATAGCCAAGTACATTCGCAACCCGTTCAAAGATTTCGCGAAACGCGGCTGGGTCTCTCAGCTGTTGCAAGGAGCAATCGCTACCTACCAGCCCACCGAGGCGTTCAATGATCTCAAGAAGGAGGTTATGGCGTTTTTCTGGCATGTCATTGGTGACAGCAGTTGTGGAGCAGGTTCTCTCGAAATGATCTTGCAGTGTTACGACTCCCTCGACCTAACTGAGCTCATCGATGGCGACTTGCCCCCAAGGGACGTCAAAGCGACGAATTATGATGGTCAACTTGGCACAGTGGCACTTCACATGATATTGACAGAGTACAGCCTCGATCCGTACGATTATGCAGGCGACATCGCGGCGCGGGACAAGGTGACCTGGCTTCTCAGGCATGGGGCAGACCCAATCGACAAATTTCATCGCGCGGCTGAGTTCGCTGCCCTGCCTTGTTTCCTAGCTAATCTCAACGCCCGTGACGGGTGGGAGTTCTCAAATTGTTATTTGCGACGCAGTAACTCGAAAGCCATTGACGTCGAGGTTGTCTCGGGTGTTGCGGACATGATGAGGATTCTTGGAGAGCACGGTGCTTGGGAATTGAGCGAAAGCGAGACACAGCACGCTGTGAGGACGTATGTTAACCTCGTCCGGAAGATTACGTACTGGGATGGAAATGCTGCAAAGGTGATGAGAGAGGTGGTTCTTCCCAGTAGGGTGTCTGCAATGCTACACAATGGGCGAGAAATAGTGTGATCTGGGAACAGAAGTAAACGGAAGGCAGAGGTGGTGGGAAGGGCTATAGACACGAGAGGAAGAGTAGCGACTTAATGCGAAAACAATCACGAGCACAACATCAGAGTCATTCTGAACAAATAATGTTTCCTAAATTCAATTGAACGGCTTCGTATTTTCCCCGACGCCTATGGTTTCAGTGTCTCTGTCGTCCTTACTTTCTCCATCGTTCTTGCCATTTTCCACCACCCTTACCCTCATCCGTCGTCCTTGGCAGTTCATCTGGCAACTACTTTCTAGCGGCCTCTTGCTGCTTTGCCTGAGTTGATGAGCTCTTTCCCTTTTAATTACAGAACTACCTTACCTTCCTGAGCGACAGTGGAGAGCGCTTTCCCTCCGTTGCCACCGCAAAGCCAATCCTCCAGAAACCTCTCTCGCGACTTTTTCTCTTTCACCACTTTCCCTTCACCACTTTTCCCTTTCAAACTCACAGCAAGTAAATTTCTGTAGAACCCATGAAGCTTTCTTCAAGCTAGGTATTAACTTTCCCCTTTCAGGTACACCGATCGAATACACTCAAGATGACGACAAGATTCACGACAATGCCACCGGAGATTCTCCTGGCTATCACTGACCTGCTCCCGCAAGCTGCCCTGCATGCCCTCGCCCTGGCCAACAAGCGCCTCTACGACGTCATTAATTCGACCCTTTACGCGCAATCTGTCAAGGACGAAGCACGCGACATCACGGTTCTCGCCGCTCGCGATGGAAACCTTGACACCCTCAAGATGGCCGCTTCCTTCGGGGCCGACATGAACCGAGTCTACTGGGTACCCGTTCCGACCTGGGCGAAGCCAGAGGAGATTCAATCGACAGCCCCCAAGACAGGATATGGAGTTTGCTGGGCAACTCCGCTTCATGTGGCAGCCGCGTATGGGCATTATGACGTCGTGAAGTGGCTTCTTGCCGAGGGCGTTGATATCGATGTTCCAGGAAAGCTCCTCTGTGGATGTCTGAGTCTTTGTGAGATGCAAGATCATTTCGGCACTTCGTCAGATGCCTGGCAAGGACGTATACATTTGGACTACGTACCGAAGGTTGCCGGTACCTGGACACCACTCCATCTGGCCATCTGCCGTGGCAACCAGTCAATCGCCCGTCTTCTCATCTCCCGCGGTGCTTCCCTGGACATTCGCTACAATCGAAGGATGAATATCCCGCGGACTCATGGTGTGTCGACTCTATTCTACTCGGAATCCTGTGATTCTCACACCCGTATGACACACTTTGGCTGGACTGGCGTCGAGGAAAGCTCGAACGATGATCTCGACCATCGCCTCACCACACAGGTCCAAGAACAAGCCGAAGATCGTGATCGCATGCACGCTGTTCACACCGCGGCTTCCTCGGGGCAGAAGGAGATTCTGCACTATCTCGTTGCTAAGGGAGTCGACATCAACAACCTTGACGGGTCCAATGGAAACGTCTTGCACTATGCACTCAGCGAGTCCGATGCCGACATGTGCAAGCTTGTCCTCGATCTTGGAGCCGATACTGCTACGCCGATTGATTTTGCGGAAGACGATATCAACGGAAGTTGCACCATGAGTGTGGTGGAGTGGGCGGTCAAATACTGCCTAGGCAAAACGGAGGTCATCAGCCGTGCTCTTTCCCACATCGCCGAACGAGGAGATTCATTTTGGAAGGTTGACGAGGGTTCCGGCAAAGCTATGGTCATAAGCTCCATCTTTCACTCCAGCTGCTATGGTGACGAGCTTATGAAGCCAAAGTACAACAGATGGATTTCCGAGTTCTTACAAGGTGCCATCCTCACATGCGACTCGAGCAACGTCGGCAACCTGGAGGAAGACCTGGTACTCTGCTTTGCGATGAACGCAATAAGTATTGATGGCGGAACCGACGTGCTTGACGTTTTCTTTGATGGGTTTAGTTCGTTGAGGTCAGCGTTTTACTCTGATTCACAGAAGCTTGATTTGAAGAAGGTCATGCTTCCCAATACGCCTCTCTCGGACTACTTTGGGTCAGCTGGGGCCGAACTCGGAACAGAGGCGATTCGAATTTTGCGCAAATTGACCGCCATGGATGGTTCAAGTGGTAAATCTGCGTGGCAACGAGAGACAGACAGGAAGATGAGGGCTAAGATTGACTGGCTGCTAGACCACGGCGCTACTGCACCAAAGCTATAGATTAACAATAGAGCAGCAATTCAAAAGCAATATGATTACATAAAATGAGCTTTGAGTCTCAGTTGCTTTAAGTACTAAGAAAGAGACCGCCTACCTTTCCTGTGTCTAAAAGACTATGTACCAGGTAACTTTGACCAGGACGACGACGACAGACGTCAACGATGTACGACGAGAATAATTTTACCAATAGTAGTAGTGATAGCAGGAACGATGAAAGCGACTTGAATGTAAACGACGACAGCGAGGACAGGAATGGTAGCATGGGAAAGATAGGGGTCTGCAAGGAAACACTCGTCTCGCGCTTTTTGGCGGCAGTCGGTGCAGTGACCCTGAAAAATGTGACAAGGTCTTTGCTGGAATATGCTATCGCTGCTCGTCTCCAAAGCACCGTCCCTTTCATATCCCAAATTCAGAAGTAGGTGTCGATCGCTCCTTCCATTTCGTTCCAAGGCGAGCAGACTGGAGCCTGGGGAGGTGAGAGTCGACGCGGGATGAATTTTCAGCAGCGTCTGCTCCAGCTTTCTCGCAACGCTCGGAATCTCAATTCCTTTCACTTCCACTTCCACGCTCGCTTTCACAACACCCCAGAGCTGTCAACAACCTCGCGACTCTCCATCAAAGACCACCTATACCCTCTGGCAAAAATCATCTCATCGACGTCGGCAATTAACAAGGTACGCTAATCGGAGGAAGATTTCGATCCAACCCTGGATGTCGCCGGCATTTTTCGCCGTCATTGCAAGTGTCGCTGCTGTTGTCTGCCGTCGTCTTCAGTCGTCGCCGTCTTCGGTCGGCGTCGTCTTCAGTCGTCGTACGTCGTAGTCGATGCTCATGCTGTCGTCCTTGCTGCCGTCGCTGCTTCCCGTTGTCATACTTGATTTCAGTCGGTCTTCTTCTCAAAACAAGCCTCACTAACTTTCAGTAGGTCCGAATTGTTTCTTGTCTTCCAAATTGAGCCCACAATGTCACTTGCAAAGCTCCAAAACCTGCCTGTCGAGGTGCTCTTACTACTTGTCGAGCATGCCACCAGCGACGGCGATAGCGACGACGACAGCGACAGAGACGACAGCGACAGAGACGACAGCGACAATGAAAAAGCCAGAAATCGCCAACATCTCTTCGGAAGCCTGTGCCGAGTCAACCGTCGCTTTCACAGCATCTTTGAGCCTCTCCTGTACCGAGCCGCGATTGCAACCGAGAACAATGTCATCACCACTCTGGCCGCCCGAGATGGCAGGCTGGACACCTTGAAGAAAGCCGTCGAGTATGGAGCCGACCTGAACAGTGTTACCTGGGTTCCAATTCCCAACTGGTCCCCCCCTGGTGATCTTGACAGGGACTTGCGAGGTACGGAAGAATGCCCAAGGGACACAAGCTGGGGCATTTGCTGGGCAACACCCCTGCACATGGCTGTTTGCGAAGGCCGCTACGACGTTGTCAAATACCTCTTTTCTATTGGAGTCGATGTTGACGTTCCGGGCAAGCTTCTCTGCGGCTGCATGTCCATGGGCGAAATTGTGGCCGGCTTGGATTCAAATTGGTCCCCAGAACTATGGGATGGAGTGGTCATTGCATCAGGAGTTTGGACCCCGCTTCACTATGCCATCTGCCGCAGAAAATCCGACGTTGCTCGCTTTCTCATCTCTCAAGGAGCATCGTTGGATACCACGCGCTACCCTGACCGCGACGAGATTCCAAGGGACAACGGGATCGCTTCGCTCTTTGGTCTTGATCTATCCAAGCCCAAGAAATCAGCATCAATCCGCAACCGCCTCGATACACTCATCTGCAGTGTCGGAACATCAGGACCAATGTTCGACGATCATGAAGAAGTGGTCGGTGGTGATGGCTACGGCGGGAGGAAACCCCTCGCAGACAGCGTCGCAGCTATTCACACGGCCGCAGTCATCAACGACCAATCAATGATTCGTCACCTCGCTGTCGACTGTGGTTTCGACATCAACGCGAAGGATGGTGGCGGCGCTACCGCTCTCCACTACAGTCTGACAGCGAATGATATCGAGACTGTGCGTTGCGTGCTATGTCTTGGTGCAGACCCCAACATTGACCTTGATATCGACTGCCATCCTGCGGTCAGCAGTGCCGCAGCTTGGCTTGTGTCCTACTATGGCTTCTTAGTGTTGACCACACAGCAAGATTTACCACCTTCTTGGGTTTTTGAGCGCGCTGGCAACCGGGGCACTAGAGCCAGATTCATCTCTCAAGCCCTCGGAGCGCTTCTTGACCACGGCGTCTCCTGCTGGGTGGGAGACAACGCAGGCAATCCCAAGTGCCTAGCACTATACCAAGCTCAGGTTGACAGTTATTGGGTCCTCCGCAGCCGAAAACATGTCTATGACGGCTGCTTCAAGAGATTCCTAGAGGGTGCAATGATGGAGTACGACCCCGCGGTATGCTGTGATCTGAAATCATCGGTTATGAAACTCTTCTTTTATATCTTGATTTGGGAAGACTTTGACAACACCGTCGAACTGTTCAGCACAATCGTCAATGTGGCAGGTTCGATCGACTTCTCAGCCACCATAGATGATAGCATACCAGACGAATATCGCCTAATTGGAGATGAGCACATGTCCCTTGTGGCATTTTGCTTCCTGGCGCTTGAACGGGACCACGGGAGCCCCAAACACATGAGGCGCAGAAGGTTGGCGTCAACTCTCGCAAAGTGTGAGTGGCTGAGGACGCAAAGCGCTATCACAACACCGGAGATGCTGGAATACCTCGATGCCTTGACCGGGGAGACGTGTCGCCGGACGATGCGTAAGAAAAGATTTTTGTAGAGAGCTCAGGCGTCAGGTGAGCGCATGGTGCAGTCGTCGGCGAAGGTATGATACGCGCTTGGAAGCGAGCGACCTGAGCGGGATATACGGACGTTAACAATGCTCTATCGTCCTTCTCCTCTCTCGTCTCTGTCGTCTCTGTCGTCTCTCGTCTCGATCGTCTTTGTCGTCTCTCGTCTCGGTCGTCTTTGTCGTCTCTCGTCTCGGTCGTCTTTGTCATCTCTGATGTCTCTGTCGTCCTTTCATCTTTGCCATTGTCGCCCGGACATTTTGAGGTATACGCTAGAATAGGCAAGCTATTCAGTGAATCACTTCTGGGAAATACGATTCGGGAAAGCGGTCGAGGACTAGGATGCAGGAATTTGGACAAGAAATCGGGGCATCTTCACTTGTAGAATAGATCATCAAGCAAACAAAATCAGGAGTCAGACAGAGAAAATGCTCACGGAATACTCAAACCATCGAGGCCATCAAACGTACCAAATTCTGCGGGTTAAGGCAAAAGAAGTCCCAAAATCTGCAGTTCATGTCCGGCCTTCGCTTAGCCGTGTCAATATTTGGTGAATTTCTGTCGTTGCTTCCCTTTTTTTTCCAGATAGATAAGGTTGCGGTGATGAGACTACCTACTTAAGAAGGTAGGTGCCTGGTAGCCCGCGCCCCACTTGCTCCTGCTCCTGCTCCTTCTCCTGGCATCTCGCGTCGTTCAGAACTCACCTTACTTCTCCAGCTCACCTCTCTAGCTCACCTCTCCACCTCGCCTCTTCAACCTGACTTTCACACGATCGGCAAACCATCACAATTTTCTGTTTCGGATGAGTTTTCCCAGCGGAGCAATCTCAGCTATATACAGAAATCAAGACAAAGATAGTAGCAGCAACAACGACAACGAAGGACGGTGGCGAAAGCGATTATCCAGGAAAAGCCGTCCTGGATAACCAACTGAGCTAGCAAAACCTCTTCAGATACGGAATACCAGAAGCCCCTTCGGTTTCCAAGAACCACAGCCTGTCAACGCCAGAAACAAACAAGGTTCGCTGCCTTGTCACCAATGCTACTGCCCCTGTCCCCTCATCTACCGCCGAGACAATTCGACACCAGCTGACATCTCCAGACATAGAATCATCTACCTGAAGGCCCTTTGCAGGATGACGCCCCCGAGCCTCCAGTGCCTGCCAACGGAGGTTCTCCTTCTCATCGTCTCAGGTGTCGGCGAGCAACAGCGTCGGACGGCGCTTGCTGGACTTTCGCGCGCAAACAAAGCTCTCCACACAACTTGCACCCCCTTTCTGTACCACGACGCTATCAAGGACAACGCCCCGGAGATCACCACTCTTGCTGCCCGACATGGCAACTTGGACACTCTTATGAAGGCTCACGAGTACGGTGCCGACCTAAACGTCGTTACCTGGGTAAAAGTCCCAGACTGGACATTTACGAGCGACTTCATCACGATGGACCCACGGTGGCCTAAGGATGCCGAGCATGGCTTTGGCCTAGCATGGGCGACCCCTTTAACCGTGGCCACCTATGAGGGCCACTATCACATTGTCAAATACCTCTTGACCCTGCATGTTGACATCGACGCTCCGGGCAAATTGTTCTGCGGATGCAAGATTTCCAAGTCAATTTTGGAAGATACCCCGACAAATCCCTGGGGAACCGTTAACACAGATTGGCTCGAGACTGTTTGTTGTGCTGGGGTCTGGACGGCGCTTCACTTCGCTTTATGTCGCAATGAGACCTCCATCGCGCGTCTGCTCATCAGCTGCGGCGCTTCCTTGACCAACACAAGATATCCGGTCCGAAGTCAGATACCCCGCGGGAACGGCATCGCCTCACTCTTTGGCCTCGACACAGTCGACACACAGAAAGCAGCCACTATTCGTGAGCGTCTTGGCCCTCTCATCCTCAGTCTTGGCCCGCGGGAAAGAGTACAAAGCGAGGATGGAGACACGGAAACCGACGAGTACAGCGAATCCGGCGCTAATTGGATTGGTGACGCAGGCAACACAGCTTGCGCCATTCACACTGCAGTCACTACCGGCAATGAAGCTATTGTTCGCCGTCTTGTGTTAGATCACAATGTCGACATCAACCAAGCAGACAGCAAGGGCGCTACTGTTCTACACTACGCCCTGAAGAGACAAAGTGTTGAAATGGTATTGTGTGTGCTGTCTCTGGGCGCAAACCCCAATGTGCCTTTCGACAGATTCGAGAACAGCGCAGAGTGGGCATTTCATTTGAACCATCTTGGAATTGGGGTTAGCCATTACTTTGACCAGGCCATGCAAGCTCTCTTGGACAGCGGTGTCAGTTGCTGGACTGAACGACACACAGCCATGGTTCAACCGGGTGAGAAGATTATGGTGGTCAATAAATGCGCCTACTACTTCTCCGGAAACGACTTCTCATCTCCTCGAAATGTCTGGTTCGAGAGGCTCATACTTGGTTCCATTGCCGAGTACGACAAACATCGCCATCGGAAGCTGAAGCGGGAAACGATGGATCTCTTCTGGTCGGTCTTATTGAATTGCCGGATTCCTGCAGAGGTTCTCAGCACGATCGTCAGCTTGACGGGCCCCATCGATTTTGCAGACCTTCTGTCCGAAGATACCGCACCTCCGTCTCATGATGGTGACTTTTCCTCTGGTTCCACGATCGGCGAGCAAGTCTTCCGGAGCTTGAAAACTTCTTTCGGCACAAATCAAGAGGATTGGCCAGAGGAGACAGACTGGGCACTACAGGCAAGGGGGACAGAGCTGCACTCCATTTCGGGAAGAATTTTATGGTTGGTGGAAATGGGTGTCCCGGTTTCGACTGACACATACCGCTTCAGCGCTGCAATCATCAGAGAGGAAGGTCGTCGCGAAATGAGCTGGCGGTAGAACTTCCCAACTCCCCAATGGTGACGGTCAATGACAACGGACAACAAAACGGACAATGGCAACGAAGGATAAAACGCGCGTGTACTCCAAAGACAGATCGACGGCGATCTAGAGAGAAGGGGAGAAAGATGGCTTTGGATGATGAGCTTGGAGGGACCTTCACACTGGCCTGAATGCGGCTATGGGAAGCACATCTTGTAAAGTAGATCAATCACGCCCAGGATTCAAGAGAGACAGATAAAATAAAGACCAGAAAAACACTCACGCGGCCCTCTAGCCTAGACAAACGCTGTTGAATTCATTGGGGGTATCAAATGCACCATAAGCCTCACTTCGCCCTAACCTTTCGAATAACGACCCTCTTCCCGTCGAGCTCCCACCCAACCTCGCGCTGGCCCGTCAACACATCCCACTTCTCGCCCGCACACCTCTCCAACCACTCCAAATCGACTCCCAAATACGTCCTCCCAAAGCACTTCAACACATGCGTCCGCATCTCCCCGTCCGCAAACTCCAATAGCTTCGCCCTGTGCCCGTCCACGCTCCTCTGCACCCTGCGGAACGCCACAAAGTTATCATGCGCCAGCGCCGCCAACACCGCGTCCACCTTGGCGTCCTTCAGCCTGTACCGCTGCCGTATCGAGTACGCCTCCGCGAGGTCTCCCCGCCGGCACGCGGCGTCGAGCACGAGGTAGCCGAGCACCTCCTGCAGCTCGACGCTGGTGAGGTTCTGCGCGGGGTGGATGACGCGCAGGACGTGCAGGATGGCGGGGTGGTACGACTCCGGGTGCTTGACGAGCACGGACAGGCGGATGTTGAAGAGGTATGCCTGGATGGCGAACTCGTCGATGCGCTTGGAGGCGACGATGCCCTCGCGCAGCTTGCGCAGCGCCATCATCACGTCGGAGAGGGCTTTCGTGTTGGCGGGGTCGTCGGGCGGGAGGAGCCGCGGCGAGGGCGGGGAGATGGTGTCTTTGATGTCGAGGGAGGCGAAGCGGCGGAGGAGCTCGTCGCGCTCGCCTGCGTCGGAGCAGAATGTCATGTACCGCTCAACGATCTTGGTGTAGTACCGTTCCTGGGTCTTGAAGTCGAGCAGTCTGTTGCATTGCATTCTGTCAGCAAGCCATTGGAGTTCTGGCGAGGAAAGTGGCAGACGTACCGGGTGTCACCCTTAGACGGCAACCCGATGCTGTCAAGCGGATCCAGGTCGACGGGCTTCAACCTCCCCCAAGGCCCTGAAGGTGCGCGATTGCCGCGTCCGGCACCGCCTGCGGGCCCTCTGCTGAAGCCCCGGCCGCCTCGTGCACCTCGTCCGCCGCGGTTCGACATCTTGGTTGCGTTCAGAGGGGGTTGCTGTGCCGGGATGGCGGGGTGTATCTGGCTGCAGGGAGTGACATGTCGTCAAAACAAGAGACGAGAGGTACCATCCCACCTGCTTATCTTATCTAATCGCCGATGGCTGCCAAGAGCGGGCCAGAGCAGCTTCCGAGTCAATTCACGAAATCCGGGGTACTCTTTCCCACTTTGGGTGGAAGCGATCACAATTGTTCAACTCTGAGGAAGTTTGTCAAAGCTTCGCCCGCCATCCATCGACATGATATGAAGCATTCACACCCTCGAGCCTAGGCCCGGCGATCTGGTTACCCAATGCCGACACCCCTCCCCACCACCGCACCCTCCTCCCGGGGGCGGGAGGGTGAAGCCGCGGGGAACCTCGGCAGGCCAGGGTGAGCTTTCAACTCAGAGCTCCAACTGCAACGCTGTGTGAGCTCATCTTCATATACAACACCAAGCCTTTCACCACCACCAAACCCCCCTCTCAAACCACAAACCCCAGGAAACCAACGCCAAAATGACAGACCGCATCTCCCAAATCGCCTCCCACCTAAACTACGCCAAAGGCCTCCTCGCCGGCCAGGTCGCCATCATCACCGGCTCAGGGCAAGGCATCGGCGCCGAAACAGCCCGCCTTTTCGCCAACGAGGGCGCCAAAGTAATCATCTCCGACATCGACGGCGCCAAAGCCCGCTCCGTCGCCGACGCCATCAACACCACCCACGGCGGCGGCCGCGCCCTCGCCGTGCCGGGCGACATGCTCTCCGCCGACTACATCGCCACCCTCGTCTCCCAGGCCGCCTCCTTCGGCAACGGCAAGATCCACCACATCGTCAACAACGCGGGTTACACCTGGGACGGCGTCATCCACAAAATGTCCGACGCGCAGTGGGACACCATCCTCGCGCTGCACTCGACCGCGCCCTTCCGTTTAGTCAGGGCCGCCGCGCCGTACTTCCGCGTGAAAGATGGCGAGAACCGCTGCGTCGTCAACATCAGCTCGACCTCGGGCGTGCACGGCAACGCCGGCCAGGCCAACTACGCCATGGCCAAGGCCGGCGTGACGGGGCTGACCAAGACGATCGCGAAGGAGTGGGGCCCTGCGTTCGGCGTGCGCAGCAATACCGTTGCGTTCGGGCACATCAAGACGCGGCTGACGGACGCCAAGGAGAAGGGCGCGTTCATCGTCGGGCCGGGGGGTGAGAAGATTGCGCTGGGCATCCCGCAGGCGCAGAAGGCGGCGGCGGCTGGCGGGGAGCAGCAGGCTCACGCGGATATCCCGCTGCGCAGGCCCGGCTCGCCGACAGAGGCTGCGTCCGCGGTGTTGGCTGTGGCGAGTCCGCTCTTTAGTTATGTGACGGGGCAGACCATCATGGTGACCGGCGGACGCAACATGTGAAGCACGAATAAGCAGACTGAACAAAACTGTGTAATTTTTCCATCGTCCTGCAAATAATTAGGTATCGGTACTCTTCTGTGATTTCCCGTTCCCCCCAACGCCCATGGCATGCGTTCCAAATATCCGCACACATCAAAACACCTCGGTATCATATTCTCCCCCTTTCTTCTTCCTCCCGCCTCAAACCTTGAGCCAAAGCGAGAGCACACCCTTCGCGTACTCCACAATCTCATCACCGCCCAACTTGCTGTCGCCGTAAATCCGGTCGACAAACGTAATCGGCACCTCTGCCACCGAGCACCCCATCGCCTTGGCGCGCACCATCATCTCCATCTGGAACGTGTACCCCTTGCTCTCCGTGCTGCCAATCACCTTCTCCAGCACCGCTCTCTTATACAGCCTAAAGCTGCCGGTCAAATCGCTGACTCCAGGGCGCAGCACCGTGTCGGCAAACAGGTTCGCCCCGCGCGAGACGAACTTGCGCTTCAGGTCCCAGCCGTAGACGCCGCCATCCCCGGCGTAGCGCGTGCCCGTGACGATGTCGTAGTTGCCCTCCTTCTGGCGCGCGACCATCTGCGGGATGAACTTGGGGTGGTGCGAGAAGTCGGCGTCCATGATGATGACGAAGTTGCCCGTCGCGAACTGCAGGCCGTGCACGTAGGCCGTGCCGAGGCCGAGCTTGCCGGAGCGGGTCTTGAGGACGACGTGCGGGGCGTAGGCCTTGACGAGCTGCTCGGCGACGGTCTGGGTGCCGTCGGGGGAGCCGTCGTCGACGATGATGAGTTCCCAGTCGAGCTTGCTGTTTTGCGGGGGTTGATGGTTAGCGGGCGTTGTCTTTCTTCGTTTGGATTCGACAGTACTCAATCTCGGGGATGGAAGAGAGGGTTCGCTGCTTACTGCTCGGTGAAGGTGCGGTTCAACAACCAAGCGACGATGGGCAGGTTGTGACGCTCGTTGTAGGTCGGGAGGATGACGGAGTACTTGTTGGCCGCCATTTTTGCGGTATCGGGAGGGAGACTCGGGATGCAAAAAAAAAGCCCACGGGCACAGGAGAAGCAAAAGCCGCGTCGGATCGAAGGCGCGAGGAGAAAGGAGCGTGGTCAAGTTGGCTGGCGCGGTGTGGTGGTGGTGGTAGTTTTCGGGAGGCGTCAGGAGGGAGCTTTCCAGCGATGCTGTCCTTTGGCGTTGGTGGAATGCCAACCTTGAGTGGTTCGGATGACTAAGCCGGTCCAGCCCCTGAATCCAAGGGGGTGGTGGTGGAGATGCAGGGCGGGACGTTGGAGCTGTGACGACGACGTCTGCGGCGATCAATTGGCTTACGATTGTGATGTGTTCGTAGAGCTTTCTTCCAATGATGGCAGCCTTTGTAAGTTGTGTTTCTGTGCAAGAGAAGATCGAGCATTTGCATGATCTGACCTGGATTCAGCGCTCAATGAATTTTTCCTTAGCTTACTTGGGACGCTGTGGCTTATTCCTCAGTATGACAAGCCTCAATCGATAGCTCCAGACACCACCAACTTGCATGCAGCTCAAATCGTAGTGAAGATGGTGGTCAAGATTCTCATTAAACCTATAATCTAAATCCCCAGCACCGTCGCCAAGGACCTGGAAGCACCGCAAGCCCCATGCAGTTTCAGTCTATATCTCGTATCTTTGGTCATTATGATTTTTTCAATGAACGCGAAACACACGGCCGGGTCGACAAGCAAACCCGGCCATCATCTCCAAAGCCCTTTCCCACTATTCATTTCCAAGGCCCAACCTTCTTCTCCAGAGGTTGTTGACCTTCATTCACACAGTTTCAACGCCGAATGCAATGCCCTCTCGTTGGAGACCAGGTCCCGGACCGCGAGGCGACCCTTTGCTCTAAATTATTTCGCTCACAAAACAAACACACATAGAGAAAACCCATTAATTCTTCATCGTGCGAGTTTACCACCCGTTGTTGTCGTTGCGCCGCCTTGATCCGCGGAAGTAGTCGTAGGATGACGGGTCCTGCTCAGGCGTCTCGGCGTCGTCCTGGCGGAGCCCGCTGTATCCCCTCGGTCCGCCGCCCAGAGCACCTACAGTCGGGCCCGAGGGCTGAGCCATGGGCATCCCCGCAGCGTTGCGCACGAGCGCCGAGTCGCTGCCGTTGTCCATGTTGTACAGGGGACTACGCGACCGGTCGCCGTATGTTGATTGCTGGGCAAAGGCCGCCTGCGGTGTCGGGAGTCCGCCGGTAGGAGACATCCGGCCAGTGTTGGGCGACTGGTAGCCTGATGGCGGGGTAAATGCTTGGAAGCCGCCATTGGCGGGATTGCCGGTCATTCCGCCCTGCAGAGGACGCCCGGTAGGCGTTCCGGGACGCGAGCCGTTGTCGGATCCGTATTCGGTCATCGAGCCAGGGGTGCCGGGGCGGATGATGTCGGGATTGCGTCCAAAGATGTCGCCTTGTCCATGCTCCTCCGCAAACTCGGCCCTGTTCTTGTAGTACTCGAAATCCATGTGAGATTCAGAAACGAACTCGAAGCCAGGAACGCCACCGGCTGACTTTCCTGGGCGGCCCTTGCTCATCGGGTCCAACACGTATGCATCAGAGTATCCAGAGACACTGTAAATATCGCCAGGACCGGCCTCTCTTCCGTCCGTCAAACGGCCCTTGTAGACAGCAGGCAAGATAGCCTGCGCCTTGGCGTGCACCATGGGCGTGATGAGAGGCTTGTACAAGGCCGGGTGTCCGAAGCGCGACGCCAATCGCTCACTACGCAGACGCTGCTCCTTCTGGACACCGGCCTCGGGGTGCTTGCGCACGTTGGTCGTGGAGTAGTAGTGGATCTTGTTGTCGAACATGCGGGCACAGACGATCTTGAAGATGATGAGGATGATCGGCAGCGGAATGATGGCGATGGCGACGCTGTGATAAGCCCAGTCGGATCGAGCCCAGGCGCCGAGGAAGAAGGTGCAGTGCGACACGAAGACGGCGAAGAGGAAACGGTTGAAGAGCACACGCCAGAACATGCCGCCAGACTCGGTCTTGGTGACGAAGGTGTAGAGGAGCAGGTACTTCTTCAGCCAGTAGTCGATGGCGTAGTACAGCGTGGCAGCCGGGAGAACCAGAGGCTGGATGCCCGAGAAGGCGAGCGCAATCGTTGCGTAGTAAAGGAAGTAGTTGTAGTAAGAAGCGTACTCGAAGGTCGGGGGAGCGGTCAACTCGATCAACTCGCGGGGGGTCGGGCTCGAGAACTTGCGCACGAAGAAGCTGTACACGAGCTTCCACAGTTGGGCCAGGTCGATAGCGGCACCCAATTGGCGCTGGAGAAGCCAGGTCACCCAGTAGGGGCTGACTTGGCACAGGGCAGCAAAAACGGCGGCCGCAATGTCTTGATCGATGATCGCCTTCCAGGCGTCCTGGTTGTCACTTGTCTCCTTGACCACGGCAGCGACGAGCTGCCAGATGGTGCCGAACAGAGAAAAGACGATCAAGTTGTTAAAGACGAAGAAAGCGTACAGCTTGGCCAGAACGTGCCTCTCGCGACCAGTCTTGGTCTGGTCTCCGGCCTTCATGGACAGCTGGCGGAAAATCATTGGAAGCACGAGATAGACGAGCGACATGATGGCAGGAGACGCAATACCCTGGACGATAGCCCAGAATGTCGGGTTAGTAGCAAGCTCGGTCTTGAAGGCGGGCCAAACGCTTCCCAGGTTCTGGAAGTTGATCAGAAAGATGGCAATCATAGCGTTGGGCACGATCCAGACGACGGTCAGCACCGCAATCCACACGTTGTTGATGAAGCGTCTCCATCTCCTGTTCGCGGCGCTCAAGGGCAGGTTGTCCCAGATGACGTCGTTCGGCCTCGGCGCCAGGCTGATCTTGGTGCCGCGGGGGTGCTTCTTGCGGGTGGCGTAGGCAATGTTGTGCGCCTCTGCGATGTCCGAGTAACTGGCGAAGCCGTAGGGCATGGTGCTGCGCTTGTCGACGCTGGCACGGACTTCCTTGATCTCGGTCTCCAGCTCCTTGATACGTTGCGTCAGGTACTCGATGGCGTCGACCTTTTGGCCCTTCGGATACGTGGAGAAAGACGGGTCCTTCTTTGACGGCTTGCACATCGGGCGTCCAGCAGGAAGCTGGTCCGGTTTCTTGAGGTACTTTGCCAACACGGACTCTAGCTTGCGGACGGTGTGGTCGTGCTGCTCAATGAGGTTCGGGAGGTCCTTGACGTTGCGAGCAATGGCGGTTCGGGCAAAGGAGGAGTCGGGTACGACCTCGTCGACGATTCGCGCGATGCCCTCGTCAGAGCATCGGTCCTTGGGGATATCGTACATCTAGAAAACTGTGAGCTACTCAAGCTTGCTGGGGTCCTCAATTTCATCCCCACTCACCATCAACGTGCGCGCGTGCAGGCTGTTCTGGTACTCCTCGCTCTGGAAGTAGTTGCGACGCAGCAGCATGACCTTGCGGTAGTTCCACCACAGAAAGCCCATCACAGTAAACGTAATCAGATAGGCCACGGCGACCTGTGCCCAGTACGCGCTCTCGCCCCAGACCGCCAACGGCGTAATGACCTCGATCCAATCCCTATTCGCGAGGGCCTGCTTGTCCGCGTTGTTCAGGTAGACGGGGATGAGGATGGCGATGCAAAAGACGGAGATGCTGGCAAAGATGAAGATGCACATGCGGACGAAGCGCAGAAAGACCGTGGCGTCCATGCCGACGTGGTGGACGAGCTCCGCCTCGCCTGTGTTCCATAATGGCGGAATCCATGACCAGATCTTCTTGCCGATGGGCGGGGGCGCGTGCTTCTCGTCGGCGTGCTTGAGCTTCGGGGCGTAGACGGACTGGTTGTACGGTCTTAGGAAGGAGAATGTGACGGCGATGCCGACTGTGACGCCGAGCGATGTGCCCAAGGCGGACCAGATGGCGGTACTTTGCAACTGTAGAGTGTGAGCGTCAGCTTTTCTCCCGGGATACCTTACGCAGGTCCTCTGCCTCGTTTGGAGCCGCGGAGGGTGTGCTCTCTAACCTGTTTGCTGAAGGGGTCGGCCAGCAGGTCCAAGATCTTCTTGCCCGCATCGTCGTTGCTCATCTTGACTGTCGAGCCCCCTTGGGGCGAGGGGGATGAGGGAAGTTCTCTAGATGTTTTCGGCGGAAGAGGCGTCAACGACCCTCGTCGGCGATATTATCTTGGCACGAGGTCAAGTGATTTCTTGGGTAACCGTTTGAGGAAGATATCGATCGGTTCGTATCGTGCGGGATGGGGGAGGCGCGTCACAAGCTCGGATTATCTAGAAATCGCAAATAGGGGGCGATTCGTCGTTTCCCTGCTCTTTCGCGTGGTGATACCAAGCACACAAAGGTCTCCTATCGGCGGGATCAAAGAGGAGGGGGTTCCGAAATGACAAGGCGGAATGCGGCAGCGAGAGACACGGGGGGGAAGACTGAGTCGATCGTCGGGGGGAGGGCCCGCGCAGTTACAGTCTCGATTAGTGGATCGGCGGTTGTGAGGAGAAAACGACTGTCGGGAGGTCGGAAGGGATCACGGGCGGGCGTGGAGGCGGAGGGGAGAGGAGGAAAGATGGACGGAAAATTGATGTCAAGCGAGTGTGAGGCGAGGTAGGGGACCTTAGGAGGATAAGGAGGAGAGGAGGGATGTAGGGATTGGAGGAGGACGACGAAGTTTGTTGAGCGGGAGGCCAGGACTAGATCACAGGATTGCGTATGTCACTCTGGGCCATCCCAGTCTTTTCTTTCTGCCATCCGTCCCGTCCAGCACTGGACCTGCACGCTGCACACACGACTGATGGACTGCTGGGTGCGCCGATACCCGGGACATGGCTTGGAGCTGCCGCTGCTGCTAGGTACCGCTAGCCAGTGGTAGCGCTGCACAAGCACAACGACCCGGCAAAAAAACAACAATAAAAAAAAAAAGCTACGGATAGAAAAAAAAATCGAATAAACCCAGTTTAGGGGATTGGCGCGCCTCAGGTCCCTGCAATTCTGCGCTACCGGGGGGTC